GCCCCGTTCCAACCGAACCGGTTGGAACGGGGAGAGAAACCCACCCCTGGTGTGTATGTGTTTAATAATTTAAAGATTTTAATTTATTTTCTACTACACTACAATCACAACAAACAGACTACTATCTGTGAATGGGATATAATATCATAGGGTCTGCTAGCTCCTCCCTGAAAAGCAGGGCATAGTCATTTCATCAATTAATGTGAGGTCTTTCAGCAGGAGACATTTTGCAGTCAGTCAGTTCTTTGAGCCTAATGCAGTTAGCTGTGTTTTCAGTACTTTCACTTCAAAGCTTCTTCACAAGACATCCCTGGCTTGTTTTACAATCCCAAAGGAAGCATTTATAGAAGGAGAACAACAACTCCGACCCTTTGAATGATAAATTAACTACACATAATATTCATAGACATACAGTAGATGACAAATATGGTACTGCCTTTACTGTCCAGTTCCCTCATACACTTTTATGGCAAGTAGTAGGTATATTGCCCACTCCTGCTCCCTGTTTATTTCCTATTCCCACCCCAAAACTATTGTTGCACTATTCCTCTTAATGTTATGTTCACATAAATGGGGAAAAAAACATCAGGCACAATATGTACCATCTATATCAACAAAGATTGTAATTGTACACAGGTTGTGTCCAATCTTTAATCCAGTTTCTGAAATACAAATTACAACTTAAACTTCCTCAACCATCCATCACCCTTGAACTGTAGAGAATAAAACTGCCCAAATTCCAAGACAACATGGTCATTTTGGAAATCCTGGAACAAGTGCCAAAGGGGGGTGTTTTGGTCTTCCCCACCAGCAATCAACATCCCAATGAGCATAGATTGACACCAAGATTAACATCAGACCAACAATTAAGAAGTAAACAGTATCCTAATCAAGGAATGCCAAACAAGCTAATAGAAAACAGCCTTCCAAGACCACTCCCACCAACACTGACAGGGAAGCTACTGGAATATAAATTGAGAGCAAACTCCATTCCCTACTAGTACTGATGGTTTTACTTAGTTTGGGTAATGGAAAGTCTGCAGGAAAACAACCAACCTCAGAGATCACTCATTTCTACCCTGAGCTACTAATTCTTCTTTATCGAACTCAAAACACTGAAAATACAAGCGGCTAAAAATTATGGCTCTCAATGCCACATATCATTGTATCTTCTTGCTCTTTGACAGTTCTCCTGTTCTCTCCTCTGAGGTTAGTTTATTCAGTGTTGATAGGGAAAGAGAGAGAACCAGTTTTGGAACTCTGGTTTGCAAGGTGCCTTAGAGCTTGACCCTCTTTCTCCACTCCCATTTAAAATCTATATGAAACTGTAGGGTCAAGTCCTGTGCTGGCATGGGGTTGCATCTAGCAGCATAATCATAATATCACTGATACCTGAAGTGCATTCATTTCCAGTAAATCTCTGAGTGCAATTCCAGGTTCTAGTTTATTACCTACGTGGCACAGGGCTAAGATACTTGATGGATTGCCTGTGTCTGATGGCTTCTGCTTATTCCACCAGATCCAGCAGGGTGAGTAAGCTCCAGATGCCTTCCATGAAAACGGAGACATTTTATAGGAACTTAGAGCAAGATTTCTCTATTACTGTACCTGACCTATGATCTTTGGATGGTTACCTTTCTGTTGGCATTCCGGAAGTCCTTAAAAACCCTGACATTTACCCTGTACTGACTGAGTTCATTTTTTTTTTAACCTGGTATCTTTTATTGGTTTTTTTATTGTTTCTATGTTTGTTTCTATTTTTATGTCTGCTAGCTACATTGAGTTATTTGATTAGAATGGGCAGTCAGAGATTAATAAAGCACTTCTTATGGTCATTAATGTATTCTATTTTTTAACTTTGCTTACTTTTAATGTTGATTTTGTTTTCAAGTAATAAGCCATTCTGAATTTTTGGGACAAAGTGAATCATATAACCACAAACTGTGAGCAAAGATGGAATGTTTATACTTTCAAAGATATTTTCTCCACTAGCTGACAAATATAAACCTTGATAATATTTTGCTCTGTGATTCAGCTTTTAAAACATGTTCATGCTAGGAATCAAGTCCTTATTTCCTTTTCTTTTTGGCAACTCTGGAAAATGGATGTTACTGTATGACCCATTTTTAATGCACTCAGCAGTGCCGATCCAAGAGAATACCAGCTAGTGCTTCTAGGAGGAACTTGCCAATGATGAAGTCCCTGCTTTCAGCATGAAGAAACAACTCCTATGAACTATTTCTTGCTCAAAGCCTCTCCAAGTTATTAGTTCTGAAAACACACAAAAAGAAGTTATTTCTATGACTGGATATAAAGACTGTGCTTCGAATTCCCTTAAGTACTGGCTATTTTCCCAGACAAGGAGACTGAGAGTTTAGATGAGCCCAAATGGATGGGTTGCTGGTTTATTCAATTGCCAAAGAATATTTGTCTTCTATTAGTGTTTGGTGTACATGCAGTACTCTTAAAAAGTTCATTTAGTGACTCTTCAAAGTTACAACAATACTGAAAAAAGTGATTAATCATCATTTTTCATATTTAAAATCGTTGGTTTCCACATGATCAAAATTCAGACGTTTGGCAACTGACTCATATTTAGGATGATTGCAGTGTCCCGGGGTCATGAGATCACCTTTTGTGACCTTCTTCTGACAAGCAAAGTCAACGGGAAAAGCAGATTCACCTAACAAATATGTCAAGAAATGTCATAAAATGGGGCAAAACTCACTTAACAAATGTCTCGCTTAGCAACAGAAAGTTTGGGCTCAATTGTGATCGTAACTCGAGGACCAGTGGCATCCACTACAAGAACGTGTGCAGTGCACACATGTGTCCTTACCTCTTGCGATGCCTCCACAAGCCTCCATGACGCTCCAGCTGCTCTGCAGCGTGCGCTCCGTGCACATGTGCGGAAGTGCCAAAGAGCTCAAATACAGGTAAGAAGCTCGGGCGGGCGGGTGGCCCTCCGGAGCACCGTACTGGAATGATACCCGATGCTCCAGGCAGGCACCGGTACTCCTGTACTGGGGCGTATCGCCTGCAACCCACCACTGTGGAGAACTACCTGTATATTGTTTTTATATTTTGTTAGCCACCCAGAGTCGCACTTTTAAGATGAGCAATCATATGATTCTATTAAGTAAGTTATGTAAGGGTGTGT